TCACTGAGTACCACACAACCACTGATTCTGCCAAGTGCCTCAATGAAGTTCCTCTCCCTCCTCAAAAAACCACTTCTACTTTTACTACTACTACTTTTAATTTTTTTTTTTTTTGTGAAGGGGGAGAAATGCATTGAGCCACAACGCAGGGACAGCGGTAGTATTGGACTCAGTAGATTCTTTTTATTGGACCACCCATTATCCCTAAAACATCCCCATGCCGCGTGGCTTTTGATCTACCCTGGAACCACGTTAGCATTACTTCAGGATGTAGCCGCCAGGGAGACCATCGCGTCTCACAGCATTAACGAGAAAGCTCGCTACCATTTGCTAGAGGTGCTAATGCTCTCAAGTCCTAAAAATAAATTGGGGTCCCTGAGAACCAGCACCTTGTCTAGTGCTTTATAGTAGGCTTTCTACTTAGCCAGCACCACTATAAGCTTAATGCTTTCCTTGCTAATAGGTAAAAAGTATCTAGCGCAGCGTGGGTCCACATAAGCCTGTCTTTAAACTCAAGGCCTTTTTGCCTTATTTTGATCCTGTTAAGGCCTTATCCCTGGCCTTCTTTAGGGCTCTTCTAAATAGAGGGTAGCCTCCACGGCCTGCTTTGTGATTGTTTTCCGTTGGTGGGCCAGAAAAGCACCATGCTGGGCATGGACACTTTTTTTTCCAGTAGTTTGAACTTCCACACCAGAAGCAAAGCTTTGATCTGTTTTCTTCTCTACAGTTGCCTGAGACAAGTCCATATCTCAGGCAATTGCAACATCTTGTTACTTTAATTCTTCTTCGTATTCGGCAGCTTACGAAGCCAACTCGTAACCTGCCTTTCTTTTCTTCTTGTCTGGCAGTTGCTTCGTCTACCTTTATTGAAGCCAGCCTCTGTCCTCTGGCATTTGGCTTTAAAAGAGCTACTTATGGCTCCTGGCTCTTAAGTCCAAAAGTCCTAGTAAAAGCCTTTTTGACCCCATCTTCCTCTACAATGGCATCCAGGTCTCGGCCCTCTTAAGTCACCTTTCTGTTGCTCATTTTGACAGTACCTTGTCCAGCTACCAACTTTTGAATTTGCTGTGAGCATGCAGTAGCATTTTCTACACCCTTGGCCATAATAAGTATGTTTCCTTTTTTTATAGTGACAACACTTTGGACTGCCACGTTAGCCTTATCAGGGTAAAAGTTTGCCTTCATCGTCTTTGGCGACGTTGCAATGGTCAGTCCTTCAGCCATCTTCACTACTACTGTTGTTGTGGCGTCCACTTTTTTTTTCTGGCTTGTTTTGTTATTCAGGAGAATTGCTTGTTGTCTGCCACTACCTGTTTCCTTTTTCTTTGGAGATATAGTCTGCTAGCGTTTTTTAGGGCTATCCGATGCGCTCCTGTTTCTTTTACTTTGTTCTATTTTTTTTTGGGCAGTATTCAGGATTTTTTTTTTGTATATGCCGTCGAAAATTATCTCGCCTTTAGTCCCTCTACTCCAGGAATTCAATCGACTACTTCTAAGCGTTTGCATACATGTCTTCTTTATAAAGTAAGCCTTTTTTTAGCACTTCTGCCTCTTAAAGGTGTTTAAGCGCGGCTTTCAGCCCATTTTTAACAGCGTTTGCTGTGTTGCCGTTCCTATCGTTAATCAATTGTAGCGTCTCTGTAATACCTTTCGTTTCTGATTGGACTTTATAAGCCGTTTGCCTTTAAGCTTGGCACCATTTTCTTCTAGAGAGTTAAGCTTTTCCTGGGTCTGGTGGCTAAATACCAACACGTTGCTGTCCTCGGTCTCGTTAGTGTCTATACTCGACAGGCTTCCTCTTCATCCTTTGTCTGTAAGAAAAGGCCATGGAACATTTAACAGTCCATGTTGGCCATGAGACACATGTTTGTGCCCCCCCCCCCAGAATCCGTGAGGCCTGTGACGGTCATCCAGGCTTACACCAGATCGGAGCTGCTGGCGGATTCCCTTAGATAGTTTACCGCCTGGGGTACTAGTTTTGCATCGACGTTTTTCATTTTGGCATCTCTTTTTGTGTCGTACTGACCCGCGAAGGCTAGTACTACCTTTTTATTTAGAAATAAGTATTTGGAAAGGGTTAAAACCGGGGCAGCAGCCCTCTTTGTTACCAGAAATAACTGCTACTTGCTCAGGCCAGCCGAGAGTAACCACTCTTCCTCAGTCCCCCCCTTCGAAGACTGCCCTGGCATTGAGTAACAAGTATATGAATGGTGTTCGTGTGTAATGTATGTATGTGTTGGTACACAACGGTCATCCCAGCGCGATGAACGGCAGGTGTACAGTTCCATGACTGCGCAGACAACCCAACAAAACGGGCTGGCGCAAGGCAATGAGGTGCCGCCATATAGCCTCCTCAGTGGTAGTAAGCCTGCATTAGTCGGCCCACCACGTCTTTTTTGTTTATAAGGCGTACAGCTATATCAGATGTGGTTACCCAGACTTACCTGGACCTCATCATCCAGCTTCACCCCCCAGCTCCTTGTTCTGCAGCTCCAAATGTTGCCAACAATAAGGCTTACGCCAAAGGAAAAAACAGCGAGTAAATCGTAAACAGCAAACGTTTATTTTTAATTGCATGCAATCGCAAAGTTACAAAGTAAACTGGGAGCCACGCTCTCTTTTTTTTTGTATTTAAAAAACGGAAAACAGAGAAAAGACTGTTTTAAACAAAATATCACGGTTTCCTGTCAACCTTGTTTATTAAGCATAGAAGCGCACTGCTGGCTATCGTCCGTGGCTAAAAAAAAACCTAGCTTTCCCACCCCAAGTTCCATCTCTTGTACGAATCTTATGTTCAAAAATGGGTTGACCACAGCAACTCTACCGCCCACTTTAGCAGCTAAGTCGAAATACCGACAAAGGATTGCATAAAAGTTAGAAAGAAAAAGAAAGTCTGCCTTAATACAATTTATTGTTTGCAACAACAACAGTAGTAGTGAAGATGGCTGAATGGCAGACCTTTGCAATGGTGCTGAGGACAATGAAGGCGAACTTTGACTCTGGCAAGGCTAATATGGTAGTCCTACGTGTTGTCACTACAAAACAAGGAGACATACTTACTTAGGCCAAAGGTGTAGAGAATACTACTGCATTCTCACAGCAAATTAAAAAGTTGGTAGCCTGACAGGGTACTGTCAAAATAAGCAACAGAAAAGTGACATTAGAGGTCCGAGACCTGGATGCCATTGTAGAGGAAGCTGAGGTCAAAGAGGCTTTTGCTAGGACTTTTCAACTTAAGAGCTAGAAGCCAGAAGTAGATCTCTTAAAGTTAAATGCCAGAGAACAGAGGCTGGCGTTGATAAAAGTGGACGAAGCAACTGCCAGACAAGTAGAAGAGTAAGGCAGGTTACGAGTTGTCTTCGTAAGCTACCGAATACGAAGAAAAATCGAAGTAACAAGATGTTACAAATGCTTGGGATGTATACACATCTCAGGCAACTGTAGAGAAGAAGAAAACAGATCGAAACTTTGCTTCTGGTGTGGAAGCTCGAACCACTGGAAAAAAGAATGTCCAGGCCCAGAACGGTGCTTTCTTTGCCCAATGACAGACAAGAAGCACGAAACAGGCAGTGAGAGCTGCCTTTCATTTAAAAAAGCGCTAGAAAAGGCCAGGGTTGAGGTTCAAGCAGGACAAAAACAAGGCAAAATCGCCTTTGGTTAAAAGGCAGGCTACTGTGGACCCACGCTGCGCTGGGTACCTTTTACGTATCAGCAAGGGAAAGCATCAAGCTTATAGTGGTGATTGCTAGGTTAGGGGCCTACTATGGAGTGCTAAAAAGGGTGCTGGTTCTTATGGACCCCGAGTCCTTTTTAGGACTCGAGAGCATCACTACCTCTGAAATTATAGAAGAAAAATACTGGAATTATTAACTAAAAACAATAAAAGCTTTGAATTTTTTGAGTATAAATGGTGAGATGCGGTGCTTATTATTTACATGACCATCCTTTAAGAAATAAATCCTTCTTCGTAGGGGCCACTAAAATTGATTAGAATTTTTTAAAATTATTTATCATCAGCCATTCTAAATGGACATCAACAAAGTACATTTTTTTCCATGAAAACAAAGTGGAACTGGCACGCAGCACTCTTGCAGTTACTCTGGGCACAATGAAAAACAAATTTTTTTCGTTATCTAGGCCCGAACTAGTTTATAACACAAGGCCGAAATAATCTACTCATTTAATAGTTTTATGCAAAAAAAACTGCAGCATTTGTTTTTTTGTGGTAGGTAACTTGCATTTAGGAGTAAGAATAAAGTCATTAGTAGTAAAAATTTCAAAAAGGCTTATAATAGAATTGGTCAATTTTTATTTTGTAGAACATTTTCTTAATTTTGTATGTTATTGTAACATAACTATTTTATAATTTCTATGAGTTTTTTACCCATTGTGACCTCTAGCCCGAGTTCTTTTACTTAATATACTGGGTTACTTATTACTTTAACATGTATTTCTATGAAACTAAAGAATCTGCTTATCAATATTTTGTATTTATAGCAAGTACTAACTAGCTCACTAATTTTTTACTTTGAACAACTTTTTTTTTTTAATTTATTAAATGCAGAAAGTGGAAGAAGGCCCACTTTGACCGGGTTTTGAGCCAGGATATTTTTTGCTGCTAGAAAAGTGCTGGAAATTTTCTTTGCTTGCTTGCTTGTTATGGAGAATGTCACGATTGAACTTTTTCATCCAACTATTTTAGGGTCAAGAGTATTATATAGGTTCTGCTGAGGTTAAGATACATTGTCTGCTATTTCGTTGTTACTCTCACATTATTTAATAATAATTTTTTCCGTAAAAAAAAGATTACAAATATTAGGAGTTTACAGCATTTTTTCCTTAATATAAGTTTATATTACTTCTGAATTCATAATAAACATTACACATTAGCGTCATCGTTAAAAATTATAAGACAACCTAAAAAAAAAATAATCAGGAGCTATCATTTACTGTTAAGTTTAGAGGGGTTGGACTTTTGATAAATGTCAATCTTTTTTTAGGTATCGTTAAAAACTGGGTTGGGCATGACAAATACACAAGTAACTCATTAAGGATGATACTAACAAGATTTGTTGATATAACAACTCCTCCATCATCAAACTTACTACGGTATTTTTCATCGATAGCCACCTGCCAAAAAGAAAGAGCAAAATTAAGTATTTTAGCCAATGTAAGTATTATCATATTCAAATAAGATTTTTTTAATTTAAAAACATATAAAGCTGTTTTGATTAAAAGCATAAATTGTATTTGAAGGGCCACTGTTACATAAACATTATTATTGCTAGGGTCACTTGTCCTTTAAATATTGCTTACATCGATTAGCCTCTAATCTATAACATAAGTTCTGAGGCAATGGCTTTAACGACTTAATCCCTCACTATTATATGAATCACAGCGTTTGATTGTGTGTTCGCAAAAATCTCAAAATCTACTTAACCAATTGATCTTAAATTTTAACAAAAGTCTTATTTAAACTTTAAACTTGTCATACGCTATGAATACTTACGATACCATTAATGGAAACTTATTTATGCTACTTATCAAAACTTACTACAAAATATTTGTAAAAGAGGGGCCTAACTTCTAACTCTTGACCGCTAAAGGACAAGTAGTTATGTTTCGAAGGTTACTTGACAATGACGGAGCCGCTTTCACCGTCCCTTTTGTGGAGTTACTTTATTCAGTAGAAGTTTATCGTACGCTTTAGTTACAAGTGACACGCACATCAGCACATAGTCGTTGTTGAGTAATGTCACGTTCTAAGAAATCGAGTAATTCATAAAATTTTAATCGGTTTTGAGCGTATATGGTGGAGAAAAAAGTATTTAGTATAACCGTAGAACTCGGCGTTTTTTTTTTGTTTTCTAAGCTTCATCTTTATTAAAACTGAAGAAAATTTTTTTTTTTTTGAACTCGTAGGGTAAAAATATATAAAATACAGAGTTGTATCCAGTTATATCACCTCCAAATTTTTTCTTATTTTTTAAAGTCCCAACTGAAATTTTTTGGCATTAAAACTTTTCTTGATTTTTAACGATCTCATTATTTTTGTGTAAACTTGCTGTTGCTTATTGAACATCAATTTGTATTGCTAAATTATGATGTTTTTTTTTGTTAAGTTAGCGATTGCTTGCAATTTATCTTTAAATTTTGATTTTTGCATTATAATGCCAAAATCGAGATTGTCTTGCAAGACAACTGCTGCACGAGTCAACCCGTGTTATAGATAAATACAAGCTCAGTCGATCATGGCATGTTTGGCTACCAGCAATTTTTTTGGTTATTTATTTTAATAGTACATAGTTTTATAAGCAGATCGTTAAGCGGCAGATTTTGACAGTTACAAAATGTACTATAAGTAGAACTTTACAACCAGAAATTGTTTTATGGCCATTCGGCATAATAGTAAATTATTACATTAAACTAAAATACATAATTCAACAATCAATGCAAAGAACTAAGCAGACGATTGATGATTTCTTATTGAAATGTTAGATCGTTACATTAAAAGATGCATCTAGTAATAGATCGTTTTCGTAACAAAGCTTAGTAAATATCAATTATTTAACACGTTAATTAACTAACGGCTAATTGTTCTTTTTGTAGATCATCTTACAAGCCAGTTATTTCATAAGAAGATCACTTAAGCAATTTAAAAAATGCAAGCAAGTCGTTTACGAATGTATCCTTTAACAAACCTAGTTTATTAAGAATTTTTCAATAGGCAAATGGTTTTTTAAGAGAAAAAAGCTTTGTGATATCGTTTTAACAGCAATTTGTAACGAAAATGAGATACTTAATCAACAAATTTTTTTATTGAATTTTATCTTACTAGTAGATGTTTAGAGAAAGAGAATCTTACAAAAAGGAAACATATAATTAAGAATTTAATAATTATAACTAAATGTATGGTCATTTCACAAAAATTTTGTACAAAACTTACGGCAAATATATTTTAACTAAAAACCTTACATGATATTGCAAAAAGTAATTTAGTTTAGAGCCAGACAACAATATTATAATAATTATTTGTTTTAATCAATACAACAAATTCCAAGATTCTCTACAAAAGTTTCTTAAAAAGTACAAAATGAAGTATTTGTGACATGGCCTCTTCTTTAATTGGTACTTAATTTTTTTAATTTTTATCATAGAAATTCGTTATAATTGTGGGTTCAGGTAAAGTCAGATAATTGGTACCTCTACACAACTTAATTTATTATAATTTTTAGGGACACATCAAATTAGGCCTATGTGATTTACAACTTAAAATAATGGTAATAAGTTACCAGATAGTTATTCTTACAGCATTACATGTTTGCATGTTGATAAAGTTTAATGTGATCTTGATCAAAAAAGCGTCTACTCCGTTTCAAGGCCATTTAATCGCTTTTAAGAAGATTAATTTACTCGCTGGAAAAAATTAATGTTGTATTGTGAACTTGCTAGAAGAATATATGAATTTTTTAAATATTTTTGATTATCCGAGCTTTCCAGAAAAAAACTCTCGAAAGTGCATATTTAACATTGCTCTTATAGGTGAGAGCAATTATTCAGCCTTTGTTCCCCAAATTTCGAGGCTAGAGGTTTATTCATGATGAGAAAAGATGTTCCAATGGATAGCTTAACTTCTACGGAAGACTGTGGTTTAAAAAAACGTGCACCTTATTAAGCATTTGAAAGAATTATTTATGAACAAAATCGTAAACAGATCTTATGCTGAGTGTATAAGAGAGAACTGAGCATTGTCTGCTATCAGCTGGCCTTTTCACACTGAGTGTCCTTACAAAGTTGCTTGTAAAATTTGTTAAACTGGTAATAATGATGTAAAACTTAGCCCAGCCTTTCTTAAAACCTTAAACTATAATGCTGTGTAAAAAAAAGTTTACTTTTTTAACATTGATAACACACTTTGGTTGGCGAAAGTTGAGTCTCTTCTTACCTTTTGTAGGTTATTTTTTATCATGAGAACAACATGTTTTTAAGTTTTCTTACTCAAACTATCGGAAATAAGCAGGTTTGAATTATGTACCATAATTCATTTATGATATTTAATGGCTCAACTTTTGAGCACTGACGAGTTCTACACAGTTAAATTAACCGTGATGCAGTAGGCGGACGTTTTCATGCATGGTAAGTACAGCTCACTTTAACACGGTGTCTTATGGGAGCACCCGCACACCTACTAATCCACCAGAGAGAAACGACTGAACCTTCGTAAGAAAGTAAGGATTCTGCTGTCTCACATAGCAGTAGACAAGCTAGGACAAGAGAAAAACCATCAAAAATTCTTAGTAATTATTTGTTTCTGTATCGACTAGAGCTGTTTCACTAAAGATAGTACATAGTTATTCGGCTAAAGCTTTTTTTTAACCATAATCACAGCGTTTTATTACTTTTTATTTCATAAAGAGCACAATTTAAACCTTAGCACTTACTGCAAAACGAACTTTGTAGAAGCCTTCTCCATATTGCAAAGAACTCGTAGAAAGTTTTGTTTATATGATAAAAATTTACAATCTCCTATAGAAACAAGAGTCACAGTTGAGTTTCAGATTAGCTACATATAAATTTAAGTGATTAATAAGCAAACCAGTGTTCATGTTTGCAGTATTCTCTACCTCATCATGTAAGGAGATAGCTACCATAAATTGGAGCTATATTTTTTACTATTAGACCCTTTAATATTAATACTTTTATAAACTATAGTTTATTCAGTTGTTTTATAAAATGAACATAGTTTTTATTCTATAAGAGTGTACTCTCTCTCTCTCTCTCTTTCTCTCTTTCTCTCTAAGGTTTGTAGCAAACACCCAAAAATGTTAACCTCCTGCCTTTTTCGGCCTGGATTGTTTTCTTATACCTCCATTGGAGTTTTTCATAAGGTATGCATCTGCTCAGAGCCTGGGTGTGCCGTCACCTATTTCTTTGGTGCTTGAGGCCTCCTGCTGCATGGAGTAAAAGCCTTTTATTCGCTTCATGCTTCCGTAACCTCACTGGAGTCAGTGTTGTGCTTGGCTCAGATGGTGTGAGAATTGCTCTCTGGTTGCTGGCTGGGAAGTGCTGTGCAGCTAGTGACTGTGATCGGATGAGTGTTTTCCGTGAGTGTACTTTGGTAACTAGATGACTTCTTGGCCAGGTGCATCATCCACTGGGTGACCTCTGCATGCCTGTAACCAGCAGTGACGCCATCTGGTGAAGCTGCTGTAAGTACTGACATGTATGCCCTGTCAGTACTTTATCTCTTGTTTAATGTGTAATATTGTGTGGGGGCCACGGATGTTTAACGGATTGCAATACTGCGGGCTGCTATTGACGTGAGTATAGTACATTACGTTATCACACTGATATCTTTATTTAAGCGTGTTGTGTCTGTTAATGCTGAACGAACTAAATAGAAATGTGTATGTTGTTAATGTCAGTAGCGTAGAGTGTTTCCAAGCGACTTATGGCATTGTTGCATAGCAAGCCTGGTTTCTCACAATTTGTGATACTTATGTGCTCACATCCTTTAATTGTGGTTACTATTTGGTTAACACTAGTGCTTCAGCATTATTCATTTCATTGGTTTTATTGTACTTAGCTCATTCTAATTTCAGTCTCTATATGTTATTTTACTAGGCTTAATTTATGATTCAATGACCGACCCCTAGCAAAGCTGCCATAAGTGCTTGAGACCATTGGTACAACTAGGTAAAAGCTGTCCTACCTGTTAAACGTTGTTTCATGAAGGCTGTGTTTTGCTTTATTAAACCAAGAAAACGAGTGATAGTTGTTGCGCACGAGCTTTTAGCGCTACTGTTCAGCGATCAGAGAAAGCATTGAGTCGTGGACCGTCACAGCTTTAGTTAGGGATGCGTGCACAATTGATCGACTGCTTTTGTAGCATTGACGTTGTTGGAACGAATCACGTAGACCAGAATTTCGTTGTATCACTGGTGACTGAGCTGAGCTTACAAGTGGAGAATATAATAACCAACGGCTCCCCGGAGGGCGAGAATTTGGGTCCGGATGAGGTGCCCTTGGGCTGACATACCTTTACAGCGTCTAATCAGTTTGTGGCACTTTAGAAAGCCGTTACAAGAGCCAAGGCGAATACCGATACAGGGAGCCAGCGCGTGGAGATC